TTATTTTACTTTCAAATTTTTCAAATTCAAAACCAATTTATTCTAATAAACAAACACAAAGTTCTAATAAATAAAGAGAAATAGAAAATTGTGCAAGTTTCAAAATTTATAAGTGGCTCTAGACAAGTTTATATTTATACAAACAGAATTAGTCTACTTGTCTTAGATACTTTTCAAGTTTATGATTCATGTTAAAGTAATACGCCTCCAGATTCATGCTTAATTTTCATGAATTATGTTTATGTCTATTTTTTAAGGTAAATATTGTAAATTTGAACAAGGAATTGCAAATCTATTCATTGCCACGACACTCACACAGTAAAATATGATAATAAATACTACACAAATTGGGCTTAAATCGCAAATATCATTTAAAATTTTTGCTTGAACTTTTTCTTTCTTAAAGTCTAAGGATATTTCTCAAGTTTGATCATTTTAAAATAAAAATTTTGGGTCCCTCTGAAGGCGTTGCAGCTTTTAAAAAATATATATGTGACAATTTTCCTCAAAAATATTCCAAAATTTAACTACTTAACTGAATATAAAAGAATTTTTTAAGCATAAATAAGGACAAAATAATTTTTCTTATCATGTGCCCTGTAAAAAGGTTTACAAATTTACTTTTATAGATTTAATTCTATATTTTAATAACAACAAAAAATGTTTGATGGGATGTTTTCATAAGACAAAAACATACTAAGCATTTAAAAAACACCCACACATTCAATACCTATTTAAAAAATTCAATTTAAAAAGATTTTCAAAGTTAAACATAAATTATGTTTACTTATATACTATATAGATGAATTTACTCTTTATATACAATTTAAGATTTAAGGCACTTTACGACTCAGAAATGAATAGATTTTTGTAAAAAGGGCAAATATATGTTTTATAATGTTGTAAAAATAGATATTGAACATGTGATATTCTTATCACACGGAAAAGGGGAAAAAATGAGTTTGCAAAGAAAAAATGATTAGTGTAGTGAAATGTAAACAAAATGGTTATTTCACATCCATATAAAATACTTATTCATCATAACTGTATTACTTGCTATAATGCAAAAGAAACTAAAAATGGCTAAGATATATGGCCAATTAGAAATTTTTGGACAAAAAATTAAAGTTTTTACAAAATAAAGATGATTACATTTTAAAGGCTTAATGGGCCTTTAAAACAAACAGGTATAACTGTTTCAAATGTATGTATAGTTATATGTCGCATAACATTTCTTGTTACAAGAGGGCCATGATGGCCCTGAGGTCGCTCACCTGTATATAGGCCCACCCAACCCCCACCCACCCCCAACGTTGCAGGGGCCAATTTAACCAAGGGCTTTTATTTGCACAAACTTGGTAGACACCCATAAGAGATGTTTCATGCTAAACATCTAAGCTCTAGCTCATTGGGCTTTTTAAAAGAAGATTTTTTTTAAGTTTTTACTATACACATATAGTTAAAAAACAATGACACCCCTGGGGCCGGGCCAGTTTTGACCCCAGGGCCTTTTTTGAACAAACTTTGTAGAAACTTACTAGAAGATGTTTCATGCTTAATATCTAAACTCTAGCTATTTGGGTTTTTCCAAAAAGAAGATTTTAAGTTTTTGCTATACACATATAAAGAAAATCAATGACCCCGGGGCGGGGCCAATTTTGACCCCAGGTCTTTTATTTGAACAAACTTTGTAGACACTCACTAAAAGATGTTTCATGCTTAATATCTTAACTCTAGCTATTTGGGTTTTTTTCAAAAGAAGATTTTTTAAGTTTTTGCTATACACATATAAACGGATAATCAATGACCCCCGGGGCGGTGCCAATTTTGAACCCAGGACTTTTATTTGAACAAACTTGGTAGACACCTATTAGAACATGTTTGATGCTAAATATCTTAGCCATAGCTCTTTGAGTTCTTTAAAAGAAGATTTTTTAAGTTTTTACTATATGCATAAAGGGAAAATCAATGACCCCCCGGGGTGGGGCCAATTTTGACCCCAGGGCTTTTATTTGAACAAACTTGGTAGACACTTATTAGAACATGTTTCATGCTAAATATCTTAGCTCTAACTTTTTGGTTCTTTAAAAGAAGATTTTTAAGTTTTTACTATATGCATATATTATAGGGAAAATCAATGACCCCTGGGCGGAGCCAATTTTGACCCAGGGCTTTTATTTGAACAAACTTGGTAGAACACCTATTAGAAAACATGTTTGATGCTCGATATCTTAGCCATAGCTCTTTGAGTTCTTTAAAAGAAGATTTTTTTAAAGTTTTTACTATATGCATATAGGGAAAATCAATGACCCCCGGGGTGGGGCCAATTTTGACCCCAGGGTTTCTTTTTTAACAAACTTGGTAGACACCTATTAGAACATGTTTCATGCTAAATATCTTAGCTCTAGCTCTTTGGGTTCTTTAAAAGAAGATTTTTTAAGTTTTTACTATATGCATATAGGGAAAATCAATGACCCCCCCGGGGTGGGGCCAATTTCGACCCCAGGGCTTTTATTTGAACAAACTTGGTAGACACTCACTAGAAGATGTTTCATGCCAAATATCTAAGCTTTTTTCTTTCGGTTGCCATGGCAACCAGAGTTCTGCATGGGATTAAATTCTTTGAACAATTTTTAAAGTTGACCACCAAAGGAACATTCCTGTGAAGTTTGGATGAAATTGGCTTAGTGGTTTATGAGGAGATGTCATTTAAAGTAAAAGTTTACGGACGGACGACGGACGGACGACGGACGGACGGACGCCGGACGAAAAGAGATCACAAAAGCTCACCCTGTCACTTTGTGACAGGTGAGCTAATAAAATAATGTAATCCTTTTTTCATAAAAGGATTGCAGTAGCTTGTAACTATACAAAAAACATTTATTAACATGTAATAATATGTTTACATATGCACTAGATACATTAATCAGAATTTCATGCAGCAAACAGACATGTAACATATGTTGATATTTAACATATCTTGATCTTGGTATATACTACATGAGCAAGCATAAACAAGAGGGCTATGATGGCCCTGAAATCGCTCACCTGTCCACAACTGTATTCAGAAACTCTCTATGACAGGGAACAAGTATATTGTAAACTATAACAAATCAGATAAAAAATCGAAATCTTTAACTGATATCACAAAGTTCATTTTTTGTATCTGAAATAGTGTATGTGTAAAAACATAAGTTTTTAATATATACATATACATGTAAACATATCAATGACCACCGGCGCGGGGCCAATTTGACCCCAAGGCTTTTTATTAAAAAGAAACTTAATAGACACTTACTAAAAATGTTTCATGCTAAATATCTAAGCTCTAGCTCGGTGGATTTTTTTAAAGAAAGATTTTTCTTTAGATTTTCCTATACACATATAAGGACAATCAAAAGACCCCCCAACCCCCGACGTGGCCCCAAGCCTTTTATTTGAACAGACTTGGTAGAAACCCATTAGAAGCTTTTCAAGCTAAATATCTAAGCTCTAGCTTTTTGAATTCTAATTCAACCCTTACAGAAAATATGAAAATAAACATTTAACAGTATATAAACTTAATAAACTTATAAAACATGGCTGTCTGTGTGAAAGAGCATATTGGCATTCGAGAGCTGGTATATATCCCGGTATAGCTAAGACTTATTATATGCCTGAGGGGCAACTGTGAAACTGACTTATGATGAAAACTTGAATACACCCCCACACTGGGGGTAGTCGAGAACTTATACATATGCCCCAAGGGGCAGTCAAGAACAGGTATATATCCATGCCGAGAACTTATCCAAGGGGTAGCTGAGAACTTATTTGTATCCCCGTGGGGCACCTTTGAACTGGTATATATCCCCAAGGGGCACCTTTGAACTGGTATATATCCCCAAGGGACAGCTAAAAACTGGTATAAACATCACGGAGGGGCAGCTAAGAACTAGTATATATCCCCAAGGGGCAGCTGAGAACTGGTATATATCCCAAGGGGCAAGCTGAGAACTGGTATATATCCCTAAGGGGCAGCTGAGAATTGGTATATATCCCTGAGGGACAGCTGAGAAAACTGGTATATATCCCTGAGGGACAGCTGAGAACTGATATATATCCCTGAGGACAGCTGAGAACTGATTATATATCCCAAGGAGCAGCTGAGAACTGGTATATATCCCTGAGGGACAGCTGAGAACTGATATATATCTCGAAGGGCAACTTAAAACTTGTATATATCACAGAGGGCCAGCTCAGAACTGGTATATATCTCCGAGGTGTAACCAAGAGACAATAAAGCCAGTAAAAGAGTCAATAAGCACTTGCACCAGACAGCCATGTATATTTTTACCTCAATTGTACATTTCTATTGAGCATATGTATGAAGGTATAAACAATACAAGAGGGACATGATGGCCCTAAAATCGCTCACCTATATATAGGCCGTGGCGGGCCAATTTTAACCCAAAGGCCTTTATTTTAACAAAATTGGTAGACACACATTAAAAGTTGTTTCATGCTATTTATTTTACTGTAGCGCTTGCTTTTTGGGTTTTTTTAATAGAAGAATTTTTACTATATACATGAAGGGAAAAACAATGACCCTTGGGGCGGGGCCAGTTTTTACCCAAGGGCTTTTATCTGAACAAACTTGGTAGGGACCCACCACATGATCTTTCATGCTTAATATCTAAGCTCTAGCTTTTTTTGGTTTATGAAAAGAAGATTTTTAAGTTTTTACTATATACAAATAAGGAAAATCAATGCCCCACCCTATTTTTGACCCCTGGGAATTTATTTGAACAAACTTGGTAGACAATGACTAGACAATGTTTCATGCCAAATATTTAAGCTCGAGCTCTTTCAGTTTTTCTATAAGAAAATGTTTATGTTTTTTTCTTTCGGTTGCCATGGCAACCAGAGTTCTGTATGGAAATAAATTTTTTGAACAATTTTTAAAGTTGACTACCAAATGAACATTCTTGTGAAGTTTTAATGAAACTGGCTTAGCGGTTAATGAGGAGATGTCGTTTAAAGTAGAAATTTACGCCGGACAGACGCCGGACAAAAAGCGATCACTTTGTGACACTGGTGAGGCGAGCTAAAATTCATATTTACATCTATGGTGTATAACATGTTTTGATTAAAAATTATGCTATACTGTCTAGTATGTTAAGTTACAGTATATACTAGTACATATGAATTTACAACAAGGTATATCTATACTTGCTTAGTGTTTAAAATTATCATTCTAACATAAACAACAAGAGTTCACTTTAAGGAGCTTCACTGAGGTCAAACAATAAAGAATAATAATAGGAAAGCCAAAACTGATTAATCGGGATATTCAATAAGGGAAAAAATATACTCGGAATAAAATTGAACATCGATATTAATGAAGTGTAATTTTCAGACGGACTTTAGCTATAAACATTTAAACACTGTCGACAGGACATTGTGCTTGACTATCCACAGTGATGGATATTGCAGAATTTTCTAAGTTCAAAAAGGGAATAATTCTGTCAAATATCTATGTGCTCGGACAGTGACTTTCTATTACTCTCATATATGTGTGTGAAGTTCTAATCCACTCTTATACGTAAAAACTTAACCTAGATTTTTAAGTCGTAAAAGGGGAATAAAAATGAGGAAAAAAATATCAGAGGTATGGGATTTGTGTTAGTCATGTTAAAGAACAAGAATGTCAATTGAAAAATTATCATTCAGTAGTTTTTTAGATACCAACTTGCACACATAAAAGTAACCTAAGTTTGACGCCAATGCGGTAAGTACTATTATAGCATAAGCTTTTCATTGAATAGCCGAGCTCAAATGATTACTAGTATTTTGAAACAAGAGGGCCATGATGGCCCTGGGGTCGCTCACCTGTACATAGGCCCCCAGGGCGGGGCCGGTTTAAACCAAAGGGCTTTTATTTGAACAAACTTGGAAGACACCCATTAGAAGATGTTTCATGATGTTAAGTTTTTACTATACACAAAATAAATGAAAAACAATGACTTTTGCCCTCCCCTCCCCTGGCAGGGCCAATTTTAATCCAAGGGCTTTTATTTAACAAACTTGGTAGATACCCATTAGAACATGTTTCATGCTAAATATCTTAGCTCTAGCTCTTTGGGTCCTTTAAAAGAAGATTTTTAAGTTTTTAATTACTATGTGCAATTTAGGGAAAATCAATGACCCCCTAGGGCGGGGCCAATTTTGACCCAAGGGCTTTTATTTGAATAAACTTGGTAAACATCCATTAGAACATGTTTCATGCTAAATATCTTAGCTCTAGCTCTTTTGGTTTTTTAGAAGAAGATTGTTTAAAGTTTTTACTATATGCATATAAGGAAAATCAATGACCCCCTTGGGCGGAGCCAATTTTGACCCAAGGGCTTTTACTTGAACAATCTTGGTAGACACTCATTAGAAGATGTTTCATGCTTAATATCATAGGTCTAGCTCTTTGGGTTCTTTAAAAGAAGATTTTTTTAAGTTTTTACTATATGCATTTAGGGAAAATCAATGACCCCCTGGGGCGGGGCCAATTTTGACCCCAGGGCTTTTATTTGAACTATCTTGGTAGACACTCACTAGAAGATTTTTCATGCCAAATATCTAAGCTCTAGCTCTTTGGGTTTTCTAGAAGAAGATGTTTAAATTTTTTTCTTTTGGTTGCCATGGCAACCAGAGTTCTGCATGGAATGAAATTCTTTGAACAACTTTGTTAAGGCTTCACACAAGGAACATCCCTGTGAAGTTTCATTATGATCTGCCTTATGGTTTCAGAGGAGATGTCGTTTGAAAAGTGTGAACGGACAACGGACGACGTACAACGTACGACAGACAACGGACGAAGAGTGATCCTAATAGCTCACCCTGAGCATATGCTCAGGTGAGCTAAAACACAAAGTGAGCAAATAATCTGAAATTTTGTATACAAATTTTATACATGAAAAATAATATATCTTCATCAAATAGTATGAAACCTCAACAACATAACTCCCGTCCTATCATGTCAAGAAATTAAGAAAATATTATCCTCAGTGGAGACCCTTTAACGATACTGTTTGAATAATACTGACTAACAGTATTAACTTGTACACATTTATGGTTTTCCATAATTACAACTTGTAAATTTTTACAATCTTTACAATATAAAACAATCAAAGAAGGAATCTCTAAAATATAACATGTAAATGGTCCTCATCTCAATGAAACAATTTACTTGTCCTGTATATATATATCATATAACAGGTATTTATATATACCATTCCATTGTCCTATATATCATATAACTGGTATTAATATAAATAATTCCATTGTCTAAATATTGTATAACAGAAATTTACATATAACATTCCTTTGCTTTATATAACATATAACTGGTATTCATTTATACCATTCACTTTTCCTATATATCATATAACATATATACCATTCCCTTTGCATCTTTAACATATAATATACATTTATGGTATTTTTATATACCAAACACTTGTCCTATATATCATATAACTGGTATTTATATATACCATTCCCTTGTCCTATATATCATATAACTGGTATTTATATATACCATTCCCTTGCCTTATATACCATATAACTGGTATTGATATATACCATTCTGTTGACATATTTCTCATATAACTTGTAATTACATATACCATTCCCTTATCCTATCATATATTATATAATATAACTGGTATTTGAATGTTATATTTATCTTTTACTTTTTCTGACCTTGTACATTAAATTTTCTGTTTATGATATTTCCATTCAAATTACTTATTATATTTACTTATTCATTAATTTATCTACTTGCTAATCTATTTATCTATTTATGTATTTATTATTCAAAGAACCTATTACTTTTTCAAATTATGCTTTTCACAAACTATCCCTTATCTTTAAAAAAAACAGTTACCTATATTTTCTTTATATTTCACTGCATTTCTTTCAATTATTTATTTAAATACACATTTGAATATTACTTTCATCAATTTCAATATTACTACAATGATCAGAAATTAATATTTAATGAACTGTTTTTGATGATTGTTATCTATCATATTGTATTACATTCATTATTTAACATATCAATATGTAACTTTAATATTATATTTTTTTGCTGATAATGTTTATTTTAATAATTATGTCTTTTATCATGAAATAATTTAGATTAAGCATTGTGTTAACATCATGTATTCTCTCTCACTATGTTAAAAATTCAGATCATTTTCTTTTTTGTCAAAAATGAACAAAAAAATTATCTCTTTTAACATGCAATACTTTAGTTTAATCACTATGTTAACGTCATGTATCCTATTTCACTGTGTTAAATTTTCAAACCATTATTTTTTATTGTTAATATTGAAAAAAAATAGTTCAAACACTATGTAACTACATGTATACTTTATCACTTTTTTGTTGAAAAGTCAAACCATAAATCATCACGTTTAACATGAAATAACTGATCTCTATCCTTTACATACTGTCTAGCATCATTTCCCTTCCCTTCTCCAAGTCCTCCTTGTAATGTCAATGTTATAAAACAGTACTTTACAGTCACATCTACAGTATGAGGAATACCAGGAAGACAATCAACAAACTTCTGCCATGTTGTCAAACTCACTATGACCCGGTAAAGCTCAATGTACCTTAAACTCTTCATCTCTAAAGGTAACTGTATTATATTGTCAGTTAACGTACAAAACTGTAACTCAAGCTTACTGAGATTGTGTAACAATGGTAATACTGTGACTAGTCTCTTTGTTATGTTGGTATGATATAATTGAGATTTATTGTTATATTCTCCATACAACACAAGTTCTTTTAATTTGTTAGATTTTGTAATAATATCAAATATTTTCTCATAATTTCTAATATTCAATTCAAATGCAAATATTTCAAGGTTTGTAGTATCAGCATCTATCACACTAACAGTATTATACAAATCAAGGTACTGAAGTTGTTGGTGTTTTGATAAATTTACATCATGCTGCTTCCCACACTCACATTTAACTTCAAAAAGATATATTTGTTCAAGATGACTGGTTCTCTCAAGAAAATTACAAAATGTAGTAATATCATCATGACTCATTGTTATACCAGTGGCACTCATATTTATTGCTACAAGATTGATCATACTAGGTAGGTTACTAACAACTGTTTTATACACTGGGTAATACTTGTCATTGTAATAGACATCAAGAGACAGAGATTTTAATGTTGAAGTGTTTACTTTAATTGTCTCAGAAACACAATTGTTTATCTCATCAATCCTCTGTTTATTACTCTGTGTACTATCACTTCGTGTACTTAATAAGAATTGCAATTCAGATTTATGTGTTATTGCAATTTTTTCAAGATGATGAAACAGTGGTAAATATTTTGTAAATTTAACATTGCCTGTGTTGATGTCACCTACATTAATAGACAGAACAGAGTCAGGAACAATTTGTTGCTGATCAATACCTGAACAAACAATATCACAAGACTGATCCCAGCTATAAATGACCAAATCTCCTATATAAAATACAGGATTATTTCCTATACTACATGTTGCATTGAATTCTTCCATTGACTCAAACATAAGCTTTTGAATATCAGTAATACAATCATGATCCCTATAAAAGTTACTATTTATTGTTCTCCTGCATTCCTGAACAAGAGAGTCTTCTGACACAGTATCATATATGTATTTTGATACATGTGTTGCTAATCTAGGTTCTAGACCCCATAGCATAATGATAACATTTGACTGCTCTAATATGTCATTTACTGTTGAACATTTTTGAAAAACCTCATTAATAAACTTTTTGGCTAATTCATTATTTCCTGTATTATCTGACAAACCAATTTTTGCATTGAAATTGATACCGATATTCACTGCAGCCAGAAATTCTTGCATTGATTTGTGAATGAAAGAGAACACAGAGCTTTTAGGTTTGGATACAGAAAAAGAAGGACATTTATCTTCTGTCAAAATTCCCAGTTTCAGACATGTTTGTCGCATTTCATGTGATATTTTTAAATCATCAAACACAGATTTGTCAAATGTTAAGGACTTATCCTTTGGATAA